AGCATGATATACATACGGGAATATTGTAAAAGAGAAGCACACGCTAACAAGAAGGCATAACTTCGCACGGAAGAAAGTTGTAGCTTTAATATAAAAAGGTAGATGACGTTGAATCGGAAGTTCCTTCGACGCCGTATTCTGGCAGACAATTCCAGTCAAGTATCCATCTCGGAAAAAAAATTTTGAACAATTCCGTTCTGCACCCAACCTCTTTTATTTTCGGTTGATGATCTAGCCTCAATGAACTGTAATCGGAGGTATGCAGATCTTTGTCCTTGTCACTGCCTGCAGGCATAGAAGAGACACAGCGTTGTCTGAGGACATGATGAAACAATAATCTCCGGATTCGCCTGAAGCATGTCCGAAGCACGTCTGCAGAGTTTTTGTACGACCAGTGTGACCATCCTATACGAGGAAAGAAACACGCCTCGGACGGTAGAGAGTTTTAGGGAACCGTATCTGCACACTCGATACGGTGCGATGGGCTCCCGGTATACACTGCGCATATGGGAGACTTCTGTGGAAGCGCATGCGCAGTTCGCACCACACTGGAAGTGCGAAAAGGGTTCTTTAAAACTCTTTAATGTCTGCGCACTGTCTTTTGTACGATGTATTAGCAATGTGACCACGGCCTTAGACTCCCAAGTGGGCCTTCGCTCTGCTGCAGTCCATCGAAGTGATCAGATCGTCTGTTTACGCATTTACCTCAAGACAAAAAGTAAGACCATTGTAATAAGTTAGGACTGGTCTACTTACTCCGAATTATGGAACTAATCATCATGGTTTCAGGGTAGAGAGCGATAAGTTAACGAAACGACAGCTCTGAAGTACAATCATATCGATCCTATTTCCGTCAGGTTCGAAGCCTTATGGCAGTCCAGAGGTGATTTAATTAACCGGGGAAGGCGGAAGCCGGGTTCATAAACAGTATAAACTGCCAGCTGTGCTGAGGACCACGTCTTTATCTATTAATGTTTGGCGCTGCGTCCCTCTCTGGTCTTGCGCCAGCTTCTTGGCACCCTCGTCCGTTCAGCGCTTACCTAATTTCCTGCAGTGCGTACCGTGCAAGCGCGTGTGCCGGCGTTCATTTCGCTAATTTTCCCATTCATGCGCAGCGGCTGCACGCGTACGTGTGGCCTCTGCTTTACTCGTGGAGCATCCGGCGTAGTCGCATGCCTGGGATCGATCAAAACACGGCGCAAGAAAAAAGAAGTAGAAAGTGGTTACGGCGCAGTAACGTATACATCGTCAACAATCGCGTGTAGTCGTTCAGAAAGCGTCCTCGGTTTCGAGCACTAGACGCGATCGTCAAATGGCTGAATGGGAGAGCGACTGCTTTTCCATGTCAAAGGCTCAAGTACGGTCGTACCTATACGCAAACGCCTCTTCATGGGTGATGACATTTTGCCTATTTCGCCGGCTGGTCAATTTGTCTTAAATCATTAAAAAATGCGAGCGCATTTTATAGCGTCTCTCGGCTCAAAGGCTCACAGGCAGGTATGGAGTTAACTACTACTCCATCCTTAAACAGTTTCCTTCAACTTCTCGGCACATTTTCCAAGCTACTCTGTCGTCAAGTTCTTCGGCACTATAGTCTATTCAACTGCTCATGCTCATTTACATGCCTCTCAACACAAAACAGTGGTTTAGGTTCTGGAACTTTCAATAGTTCAAATTGAGCCTTAAAACGAGAAGAGGTCACATTCGATGTGTGGTTATCTGCTCTTCACCCGGGTGTATATTTGTCTCGCGATGATGTTTTACCTACCACGATCTATTTATGTGTTTGATTTAGCATGCATTTGTGTCACGTGATCCAACAAAAGGTCCTTTTCACCCTCAGACAAAGAAAATTCAAGGCACCCTATGAATTGCTTTCCTCCCTGTAACGTTAAAAGTGGGCATTCAGATATATACTGCGGTTCATTACCTTTTGTGTTCGGCTAGTAACCGAATTCTTTATTTAGAGGCATGTTTCTGTTGCATGCCTTCGAGTGGTCATTGGTGTATTTAAAGACTAATCATAAAGTAAAAGTCAAAGATGCACACGAAGAACTACTCTGTTAGTCCAATGTCGGAATGCCGACAGGAAACGCAGTAGGAAGCGCCTGTTACCGTACAGTATGCGCCATTATGAATCAGAACCAACTAGCCCAACTCGTAGTCTTAATACGCGTATTATAAATTATCTGCTTCCCATAAGCTTATCATGTCGTATTACACCTGAGACTGCGGTGGAAAAAATCGGAAGAACTTTCAGTAGAAGGAACGACACAGAGAACAGTTGAGACGTTCTCTGTGTCTGTTCCTTCTACTGAAAGTTCTTCCGAATTCTTCCACCGCAGTCTCAGGTGTAATACGACATGATTAGCTACCACCGGCTCGCCTGCACTCTCACCGTCTTTTCCCATAAGCTTGTTATTTTTGATGAATGCGTTATGATGTGAAACGCCTGTGTTTTACACGTGCCGTTGGTTCAATTAGCCACTGCTTTCTGACTGATATCCCCCCTCCTCCCCCCACTAGCAGATCAGAAAGCCAACGCCGGCTACGTTATATTTTATGTTTTTATTTTCGTTTTATTTACTACACTGTGTCACTGGATTGACGCAATCGTGAAGAACCGTGCTCGCGCTGCAGGTCCCAGGGATCCTGGGTTCCATCTCCAACCTTGCCCGTTTCAATTTGGATGGGCATCGTACTGGCGTGCGATCACGTGTATCATTAGGGAGTTTTCGTAGATCGTTTTCGACGTCCCGCAATGCTCTCTGCAACCCGCTGCGATACGCGAAACTATACAGTCAAGGCCATCGGCGCGCAAGCGCAGTAGCGGCTGCACGCCGATGTATATTTCGTTGGATAATGCAAGAAAGGATATTTTAAACTGAATTAAACTATAACCATAAACCACCTGGTTTTGGGGCATGAAGCTTCGACGGAATGTCGTGACGGCATCGGCCTCCGACGGCAGCGCCACCATATCGGAAGTGCGCTAACTAGTACAGGTTGCTCTAGGCCACAACGTAATACCGAAGGTTTGGTGAAGAAAGCCAAAGCACAGTTGGCCACCTTGGATTCACTCCACTAGCGAATCCCTTCCACTCATTCTTTGACGTCACTGGCGTCAGGGGCTAATGCACTAGCTTGTTCAACGTGGCGCGCGCTGTTTTCAGCGTCGTTCTCGCCGACGGGCACGGGCACCTCGAAGTGACCCGGGTTTACGTCACAGAACTGCGCGGGTATCCGCTTTTGTGCGCGGTAGTTTCTGCGTTACGATATGACAGGCACGTAGCCAGGATTTTATTTCGCTTGCTCTGTTCCGCATGCTTCAAAGCTCTATCGGGTTTGTGCACATGACTGACTCTTGCTAAATGTATTAAAACGTCTCGAAGACCCATACGTTCGGAAGAGAAATACGGGAACGACAGGGATGTCTTTCAGCTGTCTGACATTAGCGCGAGTCATCGCGTGAATTTGGAGCGTGCTCGAGCTGCTGTTCTGGAATGCACCCAGGCTTTATTGCACTCGAGCGGCAGGAGTATCACGTCTACCGGTTTGTGTTTGTAGCTCAGTGTAATAAACGCAGCGTACTCGCACTGGATGCAGGCCAACGGGGATGTCCTTGTTAGGTTGCACAAGCTCGAGTTTAGACGCGCTAGTGCAAAGAAGATTGAAATAAAAACTTACCGACACAACGATTCTTGAGTGATTCACGATATTTTTATCGCATAAGGTACATATGAAAAGCGTCAACGAGCGCCACAGTCATACTTTGCATAGAAGACTAGCTAAGGCGGTGATTTTAATGTTGTAAACAAAACCACAGGCAAGCAGCTGTGCGTTATTATACGACGAAAAATTGAAAGTTGAACAAATTAGTTGGAAAGTAAGCGCATATTACTCTAAACAACACATTAAATCTTAAGAATATTCCATTTGCCTTGTATAAAATAAAGTTGTAAATGTATTTGGCGTTAGCAAGATAAAATACACTCACGTTTCCTCAAGATTAAAAAAACAAAAACAAAAACAAAACAAAAACACTACAACGTGTTTCTTTAAGACGAACGAGATATTGCCGCGCACGCAGGTGACCAAGCAGGCAGCGCGCTCGTGGCATGGGATTCCACTTCCGGGCGCCGAGGCGAACGGACGTGATAATCATGAGCTCCGGCGGAGCGGTGAAAACGGCCGCGTCAGGCCGTGGTACGTCTGGTTTTGAAAACGCTGACGAATATAAGATTATCCTGCCCCAACTGCCTACCGGTTATGTTGTCACCAACGCGGTCTTTTTGCACTGCGACGTAAAAGGACGGCCCTATCGCATTCAAGACTTCCGCCTGGAACTTCAACGGCTGGACTTGCTGAAGGACTTGGCCTCCGCTGGGCCACATCAGATGAATCACGTGTGGCTACTGAGGATGCAGTCACCTGCTGCCAAGCAAAGGTTAGTGGAGGCGCAAGAGCTGAAGATCAAGGGGGGGGGCGGTGCCTCGTCATCGACCCGGCGAATACAGCTGTGAAGCTTAAGCTACACTGGGTCCCGTACGACGTGCCAAACGGCCGCGTGAAGAAGGAGCTGGAGCGCTACGGCGAGGTGTCCGAGGTAGCGAGGGATTTTTTCCGGGAGAAGGGGTTCGAGGCTGTCGAGTCCAACACCCGCAGTGTACGCCTGACCCTCATGGAAGGCTACACGGTAGACAGCCTCCCCCACGAGATGCGCCTGGAAGGTTGTAAGGTCCTGGTCGTGGTGCCTGGCCGTGCTCCGCTCTGTCTTCGGTGCCGTCGTACGGGCCACATTCGCCGAGACTGCCGCGTCCCCCGCTGCTCTGACTGCCACCGCTACGGCCACGACGCAGCAGACTGTGTCAAGACCCGCCTCGATAGCCCGGGACCGCAAGTTGGACGACAACTCAGAATACCTAATGGATGGCGTCGAGGCGGAGGAAGCCGTGGGAGGGTCACCTCCAACCGCCCTGCAACCGGCGGAACAGTGTGAAATGTCTGCAACCAAGGACGACGGTAACCCTGATATAACGTCTCCAGAGAGGAACTCCGAGGCCACGACGGAGGGACCAGCCACCCCCGGCGCAGCGGCCACGAAACACCTACCCGAGGAGCAAGCACGACTCGAAGGTGGACCTTCGGCTGCATCGAGCGGCCTTCCCATCGTTGAGAATAACGACGCACCAGTGGTCGACGGGCAGGACAACGCCATGGACTTCACTCAGACAGTCAAGCGTCCGAGGGAACCTGTGGCTGCGCCAGCTAGCACCTGCGGACCGAACCCCTACACGGTGCCTGTGCCAGGGTCTAAGAAGTCGAAGGTCGCGGTGAAGCCGCGTGTCCCGCCGGACGATCGTCGTCGAAAAGACTCCCTGTGAGTGTATGGCTTTTCCGTCTGTACGTGTCTCTAGCGCTGTGCTTTACCCGAGTTCTTTTACTTCTGTACGCGTGACTTCTCCTTTTTTTTTCCGCTCTTACCTCGCTCTTTGTCTGCCCCACCCCCTTTTTTTTTATTAACCGTTCATGAACCTTGAGCAATCTTTACGTGTAGGCACTTTAAACGTGCGCGGCTTATGTGCCAGGCGTCGCCAATACCAGGTGAACCGTTTGTTTATTGAGAAGGACCTGGACATAGTCGCGGTTCAGGAAACGAAAATGGAAAGCGAGGCTCAGACGGAGAGCATGGTACGGCTTTTTGAAGCGAGGTATGACGTGTGCGTCAGCCACGCTAAGGGGACGTCGGGGGGGTGTCTTTTATTTTTAAAGAAGTCAATGGCGACCGTAGAGCAAGTCATTAGCTGTGATGCGGGGCGCTTTGTTTTGTGCGATTTTTTTGTTTCAAATGTCAAGTTTCGCGTGCTTTGCATTTACGCCCCTACGAAGGCAGATGAACGGTTTTTTTTTTTTCGAGTTCATCGAACAGTATCTGCAATCGGATCGCATCGTTATTTTGTTAGGGGATTTTAACTGTGTTTGTGCAGCGGAAGACAGATCGAACAGTATGCGGTTCAGGGATAACAGTACAGATTTCTTAAATGGCATGGTCGATCGTTGTGATTTGGAAGATGTTGCACTTTGCGCGTCGAGTGGGAGAGAGGTGCAGTATACGCATTTTCAAAACGCCAGTCATGCGCGCTTGGATCGTGCGTACGTTTCACTCGACCTTGTTAGAGCGTGTAGGCAGTATGCGGTCGACCACGTCTCTTTCAGTGACCATGCTCTTGTTTCTTTTAAAATTTGTTCCCCTAAAGAGGCTCCGAAGAAGTTCGTGTGGGGTTTATGGAAGTTTAATACCAAGCTTCTTAAGGACGATTGTTTTTCTAAGGCAGTGCGCCAAAAGCTGGGGGAGTTGGCAAGCGCGAAAGGGGAGGCGTTCGGCGTTAAATGGGAATTATTTAAACAGGAAACGAAGATGGCAGCTATCGAACGCTCCAGTTCCTTGAAGCACGATGAAGAAAAAGAAACGCGTAATTTAAACGAACTTCTTCAGAACTTGGTCCAGGAAGAATGCCTTCCGCCTGGTATCTTTTTTAACGAGATTACTAGTATCAAGAAACGCCTCGAGGTTCTTGATACCGAACGGTATAGGGGGGCTATGGTACGTGCGCGGTTCAAGCGGTTATCGTGCGGTGAGATACCCACGAAAAGGGCGATAGGGGTGGAAAAGACTTACGCCAGTAAGAATGACATCGGCGAGATTTTGTATCAAGGGGTTCTGTCACGCGATAAAAAAGTAATCGAACGGGCTTTTGTCGACTACTATAAAAACCTTTTCAGCTACCGCGCGCCCAAAAAGGATGAGTTTGAAGCCTATTATTTACCGTTAATGCCGCGCCTTTCGGATGAATTGCAGGAAAAGTTGGAACAGCCCATTATGTTATGGGAAGTTGAAAAGGCGATCGACAATTTGCAGATCGGAAAAGCGCCAGGACCGGACGGTTTGGGCGCCGAGTTTTACAAAGAGTTTAAAGAACAACTTGCCCCTTTTTTGCACTGCGTCTTTCGTGAAGCGTACAGACTTAATGTTTTGCCTCCATCGTTTTTATGCACGCACACCATTTTCATACCGAAGAGTGACGACCCTATAAAACTTCGTTTCGTAGGTTCGTACCGCCCGATCACACTAACGAACGTTGATTATAAAATTCTGATGAAGGTCTTAGCGGAACGTTTGCAAAGCGTTATAGGAGTTATCGTCGGCCCACACCAGACGTGTGGAATAAGAGGGAGAAGCATAGTTACAAACATACATGTCGCCCGCAGTATTTTGGAGTGCTGTGACGCTATGGTGCGAAGGGTTGCTATGTTACAGGTAGATTTAGAAAAAGCCTTCGACCGCGTGTCGCACGAAATTCTTTTTTCAATTTTAAGCTATGTTAATTTAGGCTCTGTTCTGTGTAATGGCGTGCGCATGGCGTACAAAAATTCTGCGACTAGACTGGTGGTAAACAAGTCTGTCAGCGAGCGCATTCGGCTTTTTTCTTCAGTGCGACAAGGCTGTCCACTTTCGCCTTTGCTGTTTTGTATTTTTCTTGAGCCGTTTTGTTTAAGTATTATTCGGAGTGAGTTCATCCGGGGGTTTCAGTTACAAGCTACTGAAGTGCGTATTTTGTCGTACGCGGACGATGTGGCGATTTTTTGTGTGGACAAAGAAAGTGTCATCAAAGCCATAGAGCTGTCGGAAATGTTTTGTGACAATACATGTAGTTCTGTTAATTGGGAAAAGTGTTTGGGGTTGTGGCACGGCAATTGGCCTTCAACGCCGGTTGTCTTTGAACGTGTTGTATGGACCGAATCGCCGCCTCGCTATCTTGGGGTTCCCCTCGAGTACTACCGCACCAACGACGAGTATTGGCGCGGTCAAGTTGAAGCTTTACGCGAAAAGGCGACCAAGTTGAAAGGTGGGGGGTTATCAATCTTCGCTCGCGCAGCTGTCTGCAATGCGTTTCTTGCAGCCAAAGTGTGGTACATCTTGCAGGTGCTGCACTGCTCGCGAATCAACGTACAACGTATGCACCGTGTCTTTGCAGTTTTTATTTGGTGCTCTGTATGGGAGCGTACGAGCCGCACTAATCTTTTTCGTAGTCTCAAAGCCGGTGGTCTCGGCCTGTCTCATTTGTTTGTGAGGCAGTTGGTCAGCAGATTTATTTTTCTCCGCGACCAAAAAGACCCTTTTTTGCGAACCATCATTCAAGTTCGGCTAAGCAGAGCGATTCCTAGTTTTGTTGTTTCATCGAGCGAGGACTACAGTGTCTGTGTGCGGGGTTTTTTGAAAGAAGTTGTGGGGGCGTATTGTTTTTTAGTCACTCGTTTCTCGCTTGAATACTTGTCCGAAGTGTCACGTAAACGACTAACGACAGATTTGATTGATGTACTTTTTCCCATTCCCACGTATCGTTTTTTGTATAGTGCAGGCCCAGGGCAGGACGTGTTAAAACGTGTCAAAAGAATGCTGGTGCCCCCGAACGTGAAAACCTTCTTTTTCAAGCTGCACAGTCAGACGCTTCCAGTCAAAGCCTGGTTGGTCGAAAAAGGCCTGCCAGTTGCATGGTCTGACAACTGCATCCTTTGCAAAAAGCAAGAGACCGTTGAACACGTCTTTCTAGACTGTTGGGACGCTGTCTTTTTTTGGGATGTCCTCCAAAGGACCCTCAAAAAAGACCTCCCATTAACGCCACATGGCATACGCTACTTAGCTGTAGAAGATGAAAATGGTGTTCCTTTCGACATGCTCCTGCTGCTCGGCCTGCACAGCATATGGCGATGCCGCATGGCTGTGCGACACGCAGATGTTGATGTGCGTCCTGTTTATAAATACTATGTAGAGCACATGTGCTTCTTGAAGGAAATGTTCAAACCACTGCAACCACCCCCAGAGTGGTTGCCTCTTCTTGATGGGCTCTCTGCCCTCAAGGACTTTTAACAGTTCCCGACGTCAGCCAAGTCGGCTGAGGTCTCTTAGTGTCTTATGTGCGTGTGCATGTTCAACTTGTGCGTTTGACCTACATCATGCAATAAAGAAAAAAAAAAAAGCGCGCTCGTGGCATAACGGTTATCGCGCGTGCCTTCCCCGCAGAAAGCCAGGGTTCGATTCCTGGCCGCGAAGACGCATCTTTGTTAACTTTAACGTAATGTTCTAGTAAATTCGAGAACCGTGTTGCTGATTCTAGGTTAGAATGTTCGACACGTCGAACCTTCTACGCCGATTGTTCTAGAAGCCCACGCGTGTACAAAAGGAACTCCGCGTGGCAAGCCGAAGTCAGTTTCGCCCCAGCGTTCGACTCTGCTGTCACGCCGACTTCGACGCCAGCGACGCTCTACTTTCTTCTGTTCCCTTTTCATTTTTGGGCACAATTTCGCCCCATTAAACGTTTAGTTTCTTCAGATATTATCTCCTCATCACTTTTCATTCATGACAATATGCATCAGGTCTACGTGCAGTCCAACAACAAACGTGTCTGTACCCATCGTCCTAACGCAGCGCCGCGTTCCCCCCCCCCCCCCCCCCCCCCTTTTTTTCCACCCTTGTTATTCTTATTCGTTTAGTGTTCGCCATTGAGACAAGTCCTGTTGCAAAATCTTGGCAATGCGAGCATTTTTTTTTTTTTTTATTTTTGTGTTAAGATGTGAGAATTGTACTGTCGTGTACTCTGCGCTCTGTGCCTTCACTCGGAAAATCGCGTCCCGTCGAAACCAGTGCAAGCTTTCTCTACGCCGATGCCATCCCTCCGTTCGTTTAGCGTTCGCCTTTGTGACCCTTGTGACAAGGAGTGACGCAAATTTGTCATGGTGTACGCGTTTCTTCGTGGTGGTGTCACAATACTCCGGTCGCACCACTATCGATGCGATATGCATGCGCGAAATGGCTCGAGTGATGCCATCGCCGTGCTGTCTCACCGGACTCGGCCTGCTTCCCCCCTCGCCTTAATAAATGAAGGATGCCCAGTGGTATGGCGCCTATAAAGCGATATTTATTTTCCGTGAAGCTGGCGCCCTCGTCGAGTCTGGTCGTTGTGATCAGCCGGGGGTAAATCAGGTCAGCAGCAATTGCCTGGTCCTACCAATGTTACGCATGATCCTACCGTCACTTTTGACTACATGAGGTAGGAAATCCACCAGCATCTCGCCTCGTGCGAGATCAGAGAGTAGCCGCCTCGCGAAGATGTCGTCCCGTTCAAAGAGCAGCGAGGTCGCGACCGAAATGAGGTTGTCGATGACGCTGTATCCGCCAAGTCGCGGAGTAGACGACGCGCTACGTGTTGTCATAGCACGCACGACTCAGCCGGCTCCGCAATCGCCGGTGAAATGTTACATCACTCGGGCACTCTGACTAAGCGAGGTAGTAGCGCGTTGACGCCACCAAGTGTCCATGAT